GCTGAGAAGTATTTGCATGAGGATCCTTCCGTGGGCATGTGTTGAATTGGGAAGAAAGCTGAATGCTCGCTTAAGATACTGCCACGTTTGGGAGTTTGAGGATAAAATACTCAGATGTGTTTGTTTCTTTTTAGTCAATAGAGCCTACGGAACTGCAGTACGAACCTGTAACTATCGGAGTGGGAACCGTTGATGCATCTGCTCCTGAAAAAGAACCACCACCTGCCAATATCCCTACTGCCATCAAATATCAAGATGATAATTCTTTAGCACATCCAAATGTAAGTGTGTCGATATTTACATTATCTTGCCCACCTTGCCAAATCGTAAAGCTTTAAATACATGACAAACTTAAGATAATTTTAAATCATTGTGGCTAAACTTACACAAATTCCTTTGTGAGCGCTTGTAATTGGAAACAGGAGTACTTACAGTAGAGTTTTTTTAAGAATTAGCAAGTTAAAAATGACTTGCAGCAAATAAACTAATGCAAGTTCTTTATAATGAACATCGCTAACAAAGATCAAGACCTGTACAATATGACAAACTTGCTGTTTCAGGAGGAGACTGAAATTGGAATGTCTTGGCTTTCCAATTATTAAAGTCTCTACCTTTACTGATGTATTTATATCACCTTTGTATTTTAACACCCCGTGCAGCTGGGCTTTTTCTTTGGGCACTGAAATAGTCGATACATATTTCAACAGATGATGACAAATAAAGAGGAAGTTAATGAGTTGTGCCGACTTTTCTTCCTCTCCCCCTTGTCTCTCAGCTGTTCATCGAGAAGGCAGAAGCAGAAGAGAAGTGGTTTCAGAGGCTGATTGCTCTTCGGCAAGAACGGCTGATGGGCAGTCCGGTGGCCTGAGCGAACTGCTGTGACCATCACGTACCAGTTCTCCACGAATGCTAAGAAATCCTACCATTAAATTGTTTTATTTTTCTCTTTTGAGGGGATTTTAATACTCAGTATGAGTTGTACAGAGAATAAATATTTCATCTGAATAAACGAGAATGTTCTATCCTCCGTTTTTCTCCCAAACTCATTGCTGGGGACTTGTATCGCTGAACTACCCGTGGTAGATGGGAAGGCTATCAGAGCAGTGTAATTTCCTTTTTTTGTACTGAATTCCTCTGGGGTGCAAAAAACCTGACAGCCCAAGGAGACGTAATTTTATACCTCCGAATCAAAAAAATATATATAACCATGTAGCAGTTTAAAGATAAATGAAAAAATAAGACTGTCAAAGTTCAGATTTGCCGGCGCTCAGACAGTCGCAGTACAAGCGATACCACCCGGGGCCGTTACCTCCTCTGCAGCTGGAGGAGGGCTCAGGGCAGACGGGATCGCTGTTATCTCCCCTTCCTTCCGCTCTGCAGCGGTAGCAGCTTTTGAATCCCACACATCTGTGGGCAGTCTCCTTGCTGAGGGGCTCTTCTCAACTGATGCGTTCATCCGCCTGCTCCAGCCTTAGCCTGGTTCCTCGCTTCTGGTGGGCTCGAGGGGAAAGAAATGTTTTACATTTCCTTGAACATCTACCCACTGCTGTTAGCATCCGGGAGGAGATGTAAGGAGAAGTTATGTTACCCTTTTAAACAAATTTGTAAAGTTTTCAGCAGGTTTCAAGAAGTATATTTTCTGAGCAATTTTAAGCACATTAAAATGTTCGATAATCTGGAAAAGACAGCTTTCTATGAACTCTTAATGGGAAATAATATAAATATTATTGTGTGTAACAGTACAGACCTTTGTCCAACAAGACTAATGGCATACCTATTTCTGCATAGAGCTTCAGTCTGTGAAGCTTCTGCTTGACCAGGTTTGACTTTAAAATAATAAAAGATTATTCCTATTTGAACATACCAAATGTATCCTGAGTATACTTACAAAAAAAATGTGTCCATCATCCAACTAAATGCCAGAGATCAACCAAATAAAAGTATTTCTTCTGAGGTCTTTAGCAAAGCTGTGAGAAAACTATTAAATAAGTAGAAGACTAAAATCAGCCCCCCACCTCTGGACATACCTCATTGGAAAATACCTGCCTCAGCTTTCCCGTGTGAGTGAAGAAATTCATTTAGTGCTGCGTTTCCTTGTTCTCAGATCTGTGGTGAAAAAAAAAACAGAGGATACTTCTGAAATGTACTTTGGTTGTCTTATTTTTTTTAGATCACTGATGTAAAAGAGAAATGTATTAAATTTGCATTCTGACACATTTTTACTTTTTCTTTATAAGCAGTGTTAGTTTTACTTGGTCCTGCATTAAAATGGCTCTCTGTGTTTCAAGACTATCTTGTCTGCAACAAAAAGTGGAAAAATAGTTGTTTCTCTTGTTTCATTTCAGCATTTTCAAATGGTAAATATTTGTCATCGTTCTGTCTTCTAATCTCCTTCTGTGTTTCCTTCATAGTAAATAAAAACTATTTGATCTCCATGTAAGGTACAGGTGTAAACTCCTCTTTTTTCACACATTATGTTGGATTATTTTGGTATTTTTATTGGATGCAAAATGATTCCTTTTACGTAATTCGCAACAATTCTACAAACTGGTCTGTTATAAGCAGATAAGACTTAGTAGTAATAATAGGGTGTACCTACTGTTGCTTATCAATCAATAACTAAATTTGTCCAGCAAGTCCATGCTGGAGGAGAATTGTGAGCAAAATCTGGAAAGAAAATGGAAATAGCATTTAGATAATCAGAACTAATAGAAATATGTACTGAAATATGCCAAACATAATTTGAAACACGGAGCAAATCATTATAAGTTGATGTTTATAGTTCCAGTTGCAGATCAGTGATCGGAATAACCAATAAATAATTACTCAGAACTCTGTAGTTTTCATGAAATACATAACTTGTTTATTGCCCCGGGGTCTGTCTGTGTGGAGGCAGCTCACTGAAGAAGAGGGGTTTTCTGTTTTAGGCCCTATATTCTGCCACCCTATCTCAATTCCCGCTTTGAGCGTTCGTTATGCATACCTGAAGTTTATGAAGTCATTGGCGTTGGGAGATGCAGGAACTGTCAGGATGGAGTTTTTGCCTAGATACCATCTGTTACAAATTGGAAGATGTACTATCCTTGTTGTTGCAAACCTGCAAGTTCACGCAATACAGATTTCTAAAGATGCCTGGAGCGAGTCAGCGGTGCTCCAGCATGTGTCTGGGAGGTGAGAGCTCATGTGGAGCTGACTAGCGACCTTGGCAATGCCAGATGTTGGGTCTTGCAAGTGAGTTTTAATCTTACTGTGGATCCCTCGTCCCGGTACGGCTAAGCTGAATATTCAAACCACTGATCATCGAGATGTGAGCGGCCTTTTGCAAGGTTCACTGCAGGGAGGCGCAGCGTGTTGCGAAGCTGAGACCTGTCGAAGGGGCGCTGGGTCAGTGCTCTGCCTTGCCGAGAACCTGCCGTGGCTGATTCCACAGCTTAAGCCTTCAGCAAAAATAGACGCTGTTCCACTGCGTTTGCTCCTGTAGAGTAAAACAAAGGTTGTGTAAGGCCAGTCGTAGGGTTGGAAGTGTAAATTTTTAGACTGCAGCACTCTTGATTCAAGTTGTGTAAACTATTTTGCTTTTACTTGAATAGCATCCTGTCATAAATTATTCATTTTCCTGTCAAAGGTAGGCAGATATTTGAGTATCAGAAATGAAATATGGAAGAAGGCAGCAACATCAGAAATAAAGTTCACTCTCTAACCAGCTATGCATGGCTAAGGAGAATTTTGACAAATTTACTGCTTAAAATTATTTTGCAAGACTTGGACACATTATAAATGGATTGTAACCAAATACACGTGCACTCCACATTCCACGTGTGGGGCCTTTTTGCTTGAGGAAAAGACAGCATGTGTTACCTAATCAGCCAGATACAAATTTAATTAACTATGTCGTAACACGGACATGAAACCCGTATCAATGTGTACAAATTAATCGCCACTAACCTGGAAGAATGCACTGCTGACTCTCAACCCAGCGCTTCTCCTGATCCAAAAAAGTGACACCTTTCGACAACAATCCTACTTTCTTAGTTTCTTTGCTTCTGAGGTCTTCTGATGTTCTCACATTTAGCATTTAGGACTCTTGCCTACGGAAAGTTTGGGGTTTTGTTGTATTTTCCACTTTGCTCCATGCTCCTGGTGAAAGGGAATGGATTCCTGATTAAGAAAGGGAAAGAAAGCGCTGTTTGTTAGTTATCCAACTAAAACATAGGACTTTTAGCTGTGTTTTGCAGTCTGTAGAGACAGCAGTGATATGGTTTTGTCATTCAGGACTCGTGACGGGGTGTCTCGGATACAACCAGCTCTAGCACAAAGTTCCTCCTAATGCCAAACTACCTTAAATCCGACTCAGACGAATGGTGTGTAGGAGTGAAAAGATAATGCTGTAACTTGAGCCATTCAGACTTCTGGTAGTCAGCAAAGACCTCTACCCCTAGAAATTACATTAGCAAACTCATTTCACTTAGCCTGCTTAACAGCCACCT